ATTTCAATACAAGAATAATATTTAAAACATAATTTTGTAGCTTATAAATATTTGTGTGAGGTGTGATTCGAGTGCGATTTTTTCAATTCAAAGATTCACTTTTATATATCTATACTATATATCACTTATTAAAGATGGAAAACCCCCACTTAATTACGAAAAATGTCATTGTATATTTCTTCAATTTTTCAACATATTTAAAACTTTAAGACAATTATATCTAAAACTTAATGCATTACATTCATTCTCATTTATTAATCGAAGACCTCTTCGATTATGCTCCCTCCGTTCCAAAATTCTTCTCACTTTTCTTTTTGGACCGTTCCAAAAAATTCTTCCCACTTAATACCATTTTTGGACAATTTATGTGGTTCACATTCATTTCACTTTTTTTCTTACACAACCATAACCACACATTTCCACTTTATTTCACTTTTTTAATATCTGTGTCAAGTCAAAGTGGGAAGAATTTTGTGAACGGAGGTAGTATAAGTTGTGATTGTGTGGTACCTAGCAAAACACATACTACCTCCGTTCTTAAATAAATGTGAACGGAGGAAGTATTAATTTGTGTTAATGTTAATATTTAAATTAAGAAAAAGGTTTAAATGTGTTTTTAATTCCTATAAAAAAAATGTTTTTCATCCTTGAAATTTATATAGGTTTTCTTTTTAATGCACCATCAACAATAACAACCGATGTTTGACAATCAAACAACCTCGACCCATAGATTCCTCTAATTTTTATCATGTTTTTCAAAAACTATTATTTTAGAAGGTTTTTAATACATATTTTAAAAATGTGAATAATTAGGTTTACATTGTTTTCACACTCTCATAAATTGATGTGTGGTAAACAATAAAAGGTGGGGCCTTTACCTACACCTACATCTGATAATATACGTACTATAACTATTGAGTAAAAATCAATTTTAAAAGGAAAGGAGGTTTTTTATGGGATATTTTAAAACACTCCCTGCATCCTAATTTGATTTGTAAAATTTCCTATTTTGGTTGTCCCAAAATGATTTTCTACTTTCTATTTTAGGTATGTAAATAAGAATAATGTGACAAATCTACCCTTACTTTTACTTTTTCCCCATTAATTTAAAGGCATCTACTTTTAGAAAGATGGGCAAAATTGTAAAAAACAAGCATCATTTATTGTCATTTCTTAATTAGAAATTGTCTTAAATAGGAGTAAAAACACTCTGAAATTCCAAAGTAGGAGTATTATGTTTTTTATTCCTTGAATAGGAGTAATCTGCCAAGTTTGGAAAAAAATGTCATGTTTTAGCTTAGTAATGCCAAACTTGGCAGAAATTTACTCCTATTTAGGGAATAAAAAACATGATACTCCTATTTTGGAATTTCAATACTTTTTTACTCCTATTTTGGGAATTTACTCTTCCTTAATCCTTGTGCTGGTCAAAGTTTGCAATTCATTTCGGGACGGAGGGAGTATCTCTCTGTGGCACCAGTAATAATTACGCTCTCATTAGGAGCTTTAGCAGGTCTATTGATAGAAATAAATCATGGTTTCAAATAGATTTAAGCAACCTGCAATAATTTGCTTCCTAAATATAGTGGTTTCAAAGTTAGAGATGAATCGGAAATAAAATAGTGCATATTATAGCGATGAAAAATAAAATAAAAATGCAGAAACCTAAAACAAAATGTGATATTTGCAACTTAAACACCTGATTTTTATGCGAAAATTGAAAAAGGTGAAAATCATAAGACTCTTCAAGTTAATTCAAGTCAACCCTCATTTATGAATTGTCTCGCCATATTTTCATATATAAGAATTTAGTTCTCAACCGTCATTAATGGAGCTCCAAACGATGTCTTGCAAGAAGGGATTCCCTCTCTATTCGTTGAAAAACGAGGTAGGCTTTTCTGCCCTAAGGGGCATACATATCGGGGATGAGAAACACTAATAACAGGGTTGATGGGTGTAGTCCAATGGATGATCATCCACCACAAGTCTCTTCTTTGTGTGAGGTCTTGGGTTCAATTCCCCTTAAGAGAAGATGAGGGAGATCTTTCTCTCAATGATTCTTGGCTGAGTTACTCAACGGTCAGAAGGGAGAGACGGGATTGATTATGGGAAATGCTAATAACAAGCTACTGAGCCTTCTTTTAGTATTGGACCGAGAGTCCGAGAGCCATTATTGAACAGGTTTATTGGGTAAAAATGATTAGATTGTCCCAATAACAAATGGTCAATAGTCAATACCATCAAGAAAGTCTTCCTGTCCATGAATGCAAATCATTGAACAGTGGCCTACCGTAATATGTTCATTCCCGGTACATAAAAAAACTCCAGTGTGCTTAGTACTTTTCATAAAAACTCCATAATTAGGCTCAACCGCCCAAGGCCATAAAAACTCGATGATTAAGCCCGCATATAACTCATAAAAAATGGTCTTTGCCACTATTAAATTCTCATTTATTCCTCCTTTCTCCTACCCCGTACTATTTATCTGTATCTTCACAAATGTCTACTCCTTTTTCTTACATAGTACTAGGTATTGGTTACAAATGATACATGATTATCTGACTTGAAGACGTTACGACTTCCAAAATATAAATTTCTTGATGAGGATGACAGTTATCCAAGGACGGTGGTGGTAGTCAAGAGAAACCGTCTTCCGATTATCAATCCCGTGGCCCGGGGGCCGGGGGTAAGGGGCCCTAGGCCCAAGAAAAATGGAAAAATCTTAAGACAGATTTAGTTATTTATAATATGTGTAAATAAGTTGATTTTTCAGCTCTAAGCTAATACTTTTCTTAGGTGCCTTTGGGTGGATTTGTTTGATGAAAATTTATGAACATATTCCGTATAAAGTGTAGATTATATTCAAAAAAAATTACTGATCAGTTTATTAATAGAATGCATTCATAGTTTAATTGTTTGATTATTTTAAGAGTACATTCATAGTTAATTGTTTGATTGTTTAAATTGTTGATTATTATCTATTGAGTGTTGGTGTTATAAATTGTTGATTTTATTTGACAAAAAAATCAATAATAATTAAATTTATAAATTAAATTTATTTCAAGGTATAATAAAAATGATTGAATCTGGATAGGATAAAAAGAGAGGAGAAAATTAGAGAAAAGTGCGCCAAGTTAAAAGGTTCCATGGAAAAGTTTATTAGTGTAAAGAAGTCGAATTCATAACGTCTTCCTCAAGATGAGAACTCAGAGAAGGAGAATGATTTAACTACTGAAAATGAAATGATACAAAATCATCACATTATTGGAGGAGAGAATTTTGAAGTTGATAATAATTGAGTTAATTCCATAAATAAGACCACCATTATTTCCTTCTTAAATAAAGACCACTAATAGTACTATTAGTCATACTATAATTTAAAATAATATTATTATTATTATGCATGTTGGTTTAGATGATAAAAAAGAGTTTTACAATTTTTTTTAAATCAGGTCCATTTTAATTCTCCACCTCTAGACCTTCAAACCTACCAAACCAGCCCGGCCGGTCGCGATGGAATTTGACACCCAAATGAAATACGATAGTATATAACTCGCGATGGAATTTGACACCCAAATGAAATACGATAGTATATAACTCGCCAGGACTAAATGTGAAATGGAACTAAATAATACTAGTAGGAATGTACGTAGGATAACAAACCTATTTGGGGAAAAGGATAAGTGAACTAATACTTCCCATAAAATTCTTCCTACTTTGACTTGACACGAAGATTAAGAAAGTAGAATAAAGTGGAAATGTATGATTGTGGTTGTGTAAGAAAAAAATGAAATGAATGCGAACCACACAAATTGTCCAAAAATGATAAGTGGGAAGATTTTTTTAGAACGTCCCAAAAAAGAAAGTATGAAGAATTTTATGGGACAGAGGGAGTATTTGTTAAGTGTCACCATGTGCCCATGTATACTCCAATTCTGTGATATTTCTTTTTCTTATGTTGTACTTCGTAGTATACTTCTGCAATTTATGAAATGATAAAATCGCAACGTAATTTTTGACTGGCTACGAAATCTATATGATTTTCTCAATCTGCGCATTTCAATAGTGGACAGCTAAATTAGAACAAATAGGCACACAATACTGCATTCCTCCCCAAAAAGTCTTCCGCCAATTCAGTATGGAGTACCTTTTATTATGAATCTTGAGTCTGGGGATAGAGCCTCATTCTCTATCCGTCAGATTGTGATTATAGTCCAATTTACATTCTCCCAACGTACCGTCCGATCGGTGTTGGGGGCCCTCAGCGATGGGGTGTCATCCTTTTTTTATGAATCTTGAGTCATACTATATACTTCGTATTAAAATTATTTAATGGTTTAACTAAATATAAATGATGTGTTCGCTACTATAGTAATTTAATTAATAGATTAAGCGAAAAATAGATTTGTTTGGATAAAGAAGCTATTTCGGGGCATAAAATAATGTTTTGAGTTTAATAGTGTTTCTATCAAACTCTGAAATGGGGAATGTAAAACGAAACATAAAAAGGTCATTTTTAGTGGAATTTTTTTCTCAAAGTAAATTTGGCAGAAGTTGGCTATGCTAAGGATGCCTTAGTTCCAAATTAAAAATACAAATTTTGAGAATTCCAAATTAGGACTGCCATGTTATTATCCCCAAAATGGAAGTAATTACTGCCAAATTTGGAAAATATTGTCATGTTCAAAGTCAGGTACTTCCGAAACATGACAGCAATTAATCCTATTTTGGAATGTACAAACGTTTTTAGTCCTATACATTAATTATAGATTTTGAGGAACAAAATCGAAATTCCACCAACCGGAAACCGCAACTAACTAAATATAAAGGCCGTGTGTGGTCGATAGCTTTAAATATAATTTATGTGTAGTAAGTTGTTTGTAATTAATGTTAGCAGCAACAAGTTGGCAAACACAGTTCTTTCAGTAATAAATGAAATTCCATGACTTAACACTAACTATCGTTTCCATATTAGGAAAATGTTAAATAATGAGACAAAACAGCGTGCAATCTCTTACTCCCTATTTTTTAAATCAGATTAACGTGATCTTATCAAAGCACACTCCCCAGAATAGTAATATTCAGTCTTAAAATTCAGAGGATAAGCATAAATATGAAATTCGAATAAAAAAGCTCCCAAACAGGATACCTGATTTCTCTAAGCCATGGCACATTCCTTTTCCATCTTCTTTGTCCAACAACTTGTTTCCTTTGTCATCATCATCACCTTCATGAATGTCTTCTGCATTGGCCAATCCACCCCAAAGTTCTCTGCAATCATTATTTTTGGTGACTCAACGGTCGATACTGGAAATAACAACTACATCCTAACCACATTCAAAGGAAACCACCCACCTTACGGTCAGCAGTATCCCGGCAAGGTCCCGACCGGGAGGTTTTCGGACGGAAAACTCGTCCCTGACCTTCTGGCATCTGCCATGGGAATCAAGGACAGTGTTCCTCCGTTCCTGCAACCGTACCTTTCCGAGGAAGAACTTCTGACCGGAGTCAGTTTTGCCTCGGCGGGGTCAGGCTTGGATGAGTTAACCACCATTGCTTCTAGAGTGATCCCAATGTCCCAGCAATTGACCATGTTTCAAGATTACATAAAGATGCTGAAAAGGATTGCGGGAGAGGAAGAAGCGGAAAGGATAATTAACAATGCCTTTGTCCTCATCAGTGCAGGACCTAATGATTTCATCTTCAATTACTATGACATTCCTACAAGAAGGCAGCAGTTCAGTATCAGTGGCTATCAAGATTTTTTGCAGCTTAAGCTCCGAAAATTCGTTGAGGTAACCCACTAACGCTGCAATTTATTAAGCTATATAAACACTAGACTAGAATAGAGTTCTAGCAAACTCCTGCAGAGTAAGAACACGTGTATTACTTTGATGATCACAGAAAATTTTAAAAAAGTATACTTTTGTTGTGAACAAACACAGATTTTTGTATATATAAATATATTGGTTTTCTATTTTCATAGCTTATAATTGTTCATAATCTATAGTACTAGTACCAAATACAAAACGAGATTTTCAGTATTAAAAATTATAAATGTAAATGAGTGATTGTAAGAACTTATAGTTTTTACAATTAATTTTAAGTGATTTATTGTTTTACTTGGCAGGGTAAAACATGTGATCTTTACTCAACCCCCGAAATCCCAACTTACACTCAAATATCTCAATTTTATGGTAGAATCTGATAGGGACCTAGACAGTACTACTAATCAATGCAAGGAGACATAAAACAATGATCATATGTTAATCAATGAACTTACATTATTACCCAAAAGATTACAGAGTCAGAATATATTCTGTTTCAAAAAAAATCAGGGAATTTATAAGCTAGGATGCCGTACCATTTTGGTCACTGGGCTTCCTCCAATGGGTTGTTTGCCTATACAAATGACTGCTCGCTCTCCCCTTGTGAGGGAATGTCTTGAAGATGAAAATTCAGATGCTCAAATTTATAACGCCAAGCTTGTACGTTTGCTGCCTCGCATTCAAGAGTCCCTTCCAGGGAGCACAATTTTGTATTCAGATGCATACAATCCGATGGTAGACTTGATCAACAATCCACAAAGACACGGTGACTATGTATCCCTTTGTGAATTTCATTGATTCTTTATTCATTTCATCAATAAGTATTATTAGAGTTAATTACATCTACCCCTCTGAGGTTTGATCAAATCACCAAATAGTTCCCAATGTTTTTGGAAATTACAAATACACCCCTTCCCAAGTCAAATGTTCCATAATTACAACAAGAGAAGACAAATCTATATATTATGACAGTACTAGGGAAGTGAGTGTTTTCGGACTCAAATACTCTTATAACATTTCAACATTTTAATCAACATAAAATAATACAATAAGAATTTCATTCCCAAAATCTTATTTCCTACTAATATCATTATCTTCTATCATATTTCGTTGTTAGGAGTGTTTCACAAAATTACTATAAAGGGTGTGTTCTTAATTTATATTAACTTTAGGAACCATTTTGTAATTTGACCAAACCTCAAGGGGGGAAAATGAGAAAACTTATTAAAGCATAAGTATATGTTTCACCTACACATGAAATTCGCACAATACAAAATGCAAGGTTTAAAGAACTAAAAGTACTTGGATAACATTGCAGGCTTCGTGGAAACCGGAGAAGGATGCTGTGGCACTGGATTAATGGAAGCGGGACCTCTATGTATTATGCGTCGTCCAACATGCACCAATGCCTCACAGTACTTATTCTGGGATAGCATTCATCCCACTGAAGCAACATACCGCTATATTACACAAACCCTTCTGAAGCGTCTATAGCTTCCATATACTCTCATCACATTTTAGTGGCCATTTATGGATTTGTATAAGCTTGAGAATCAAGAATTCCAGAATGAAAATTTCAAAGGATTAGGTTGAGGTCATAACCTAATTCAGAGTATTAGTTCTGGAATGACTGCCAGAGCCTCTCTTTCCCATGATTTATTTTCTGCATACTTCAGCAAAAGGAAAAGAAAGATCATAGTCAAAAATAAAACATAGACACAGATGGTATAATAGAATTGTAATGTATCCGAAAGTTGTATAGATATATTTTTGTGTCCAAACAATCAAAGAATGATGAGATAACTGAGAAATAGTCAACGACCATGGGACTATTATCAATTACAGAATACAGAACTCCAAGAAACTAACAAAGTAAAATTCTTTCACATTCACCCACCCAATAAATAGTACCTAACTTTTGATGTTTACTTCCATATTCTGTAGACACCACCTAAAGAGATACCAACCATCATTCACTTTATGAACAATGCATATGCCAGTTTTCATTATTAAACAATAAACAGAACAAAAAACATAGTAGCGGATATAGCATAACCCTTGTATTTGCACTCATGCGGTTATATTACTTCCAATTGACCCCACAGTCCATGCCATTGAACATGCAATGCAGATTGCAATATAATTATCTGTACCTTCCCTGTCATAGAAACTTGGCAAAATTCCTTGAAATCAAGAGAAGAAATTCCCATTCTAGGGTGACTGAATTCTTTTAGCAGAAAGATACACTTTCTAGACACTTTATTACCAAGAATTCAATTGATGGAGAAACATTAGAGTCCATCTTAAAGTAGATGGGTAGATGAAATCATGTTCTATTTTTCATACAAGTATTCATCTACTTATGTCATAGTGACATTTATGCACCTCTTGATGCAACCTTCTTAGCTCTTGCGGAAGAATAATGTGATGGAATACCAAGAATGTCATCATCGTAGGCATAATATCAGGATACATAGATGAGTTGAAATAGTTATAGATAATTAGATATGTTACATTAAGAAAAGGAAGAAAAAAAAGGGGAGTGCGAAGTCTTGTAACAAATTCAATCTTCTAACTTAAACAGTTAATGAATGGTATATAACTTCTAAAAGCGCAGACATTGTTTTTTATGGACTAAAAAAGTAAATCACAACTGAGTATATTAAATTATAATCCTTATTTTATAAAAAAATTAAGGTTAATAACATTGTAACTCGATAATATTTGTAGCCAGAAAATAACAGTATATTCAATTATATTCATAGTTTAGCATCAAAAACAAAGCAAAAATGAACAAAAATACAAGAAACACTGAACAAAACTTATGCCGCTGAATTATCGTTCGAGTGAGATTTCAAGGAAATCCTTCAAGGGCAAGGTACAAGAATTAAGGAAATATAGAAATAATAAATGAAATGATATACAGTCTGCATTATGCAGCATTTGTTGCATACTGATGAGTCTCCTCGGCGACTTTTGCCCATTCGTTTCCAATATTTTCTGAATAAGCCACCTATAATGCAAGTCAAAGTGAAGCCGGTGCATTAGCCGAGTTATAATATTTTTAACAATTAGTTCTTAGAAAAAGAGAGGCTCAAACCATCACTGCAAACTTACAAAGCATCATGAATGTATGTGTTTCTTAAGTTTGCAGCTTAGTGAAGTTCATCCGTGGTAAAACATTATCAGCCATAGTGCCATACATAATGATTAGGGGTGAGCATGGGACGGTACGAGATGGTTATTAAAAAAACATGTCTCGTCCCAAACTACGGTTCTTTTAAAAATCAAAGAACTTGTACCGTCCCGAATATGTATAGAACCTGTCCCATTCCGTACCAATTTTCAGTACGGTTCTGATAGGAACTCCAAATATCCAGAAATGCAGAAATTAATATCAATGGACAAGGTAATCTTTATTGAAGAAGATGAACAGTAATCTGTACAAAGGCCAAAGCCCTCAAAGCCGAAGCTCCAAAAGATAGAGATGTTTAGTCTCCGATCTTTCCCAGTCCCAAGAGTCAAGACTAATCGTCTAAAAGCCTACCCTTTATTGCCCACTCCCCTTCTATTTACACTACTCTATCTATTACATTTCTTATTTACTCTTATTCTACCGGGTCCCTAACATATCTCCCCCCCTAAACATCCACCTTGCCCTCAAGGTGGTCGGTAAGAGACAGCCCAGATCTTCTGCTTCTTCTTCTTCCTTGCACCCCTTCCTTCCCAATATCTTTCAAATGTCAGGATCCTTAACTTCTTGACTTGAATCTTCCTTCTCACTGCTTCTCGCAAAAACAACATTAGCTCCTTTTTCTTCCAATCGTCAATATTAGGCCCGTGTCTTTGATCATGCTGGTACTGATCTTTACCAACCATCCCTATCTCATTCTTCCATGTGCTAATAGCTCTTGCTACAGGGTATAACTCAAATCTTTGAGTTTCAGTTGCTTCACTCCTTGAAATTTCAGCATCTTCATTAGCCAACTTATTTGAAAAGAAAAACCTCAAAGGTTTTAGCAGGTACGTAAGGATATCCACTATTCCAGTTGCATTTCCCCCAACTGAATAACAGGAAAGCCTATTATCCATGCAAAACTTCCAAAGTAGGTTTTCTTGAAGGTAGACAGATTCTTCATTAGAAGAAAACAATTCACTTTTCAAAGCTTGTTTCAGCTTCACCTGTCCATTTGCTACAGCTTCCAATCCCACGACCATACTCTGAGTATTAAGATCCAGGACCTCACTGATTTTATCCAACTGATATTCAAAAGTAAATTCATCAGCCCCTTTCAATCTATAATTACAGGAGTCCCAATTTGCATAAAGTGTCAAACTGCAGTCCTTAACTCCCATCCCAGAATTGACATTGGAGTGAATGAAGACCGATCCTTCAAATGCACAAATCTGTGGATCATTCTTTCCCAACTGCCCTGCTAAGATACTCTGGACTTTTACCCCCTTTTTATCCCCAATAACTTGATCCTGGCTGTCAGAATCAGCAACATACTTGTCCATAGACACATCATTCACTAATTCTTTTTGAAAATTCTTCCTAGAAGTAACCCTTTCCACTCTAAGGCTATCAGAAGTGTTCATTCCTTCTGACGTAATCTTTGATGACTGACAACCTCTGGTGAGTTCAGCAACGGCATCAGCTTCATGTTCAAAGTTATCTGATGATTTCTTCTTGTTTTTCTTGTCACCATTCTGCTGATTAGTCAACTCCTGAAGCAATTCAGGGGACTCAGAGGGATATTGCGAAATGGTGTCTTCTGTTTTCCTAGAAACCAGAGGTCCTCTCACTCGCGTCTTTCTTGGAAGTGAATGGATGGCTGGTGAGGAAGTCTGCGAACTGAAAGAAACTGTTTGCGACTGTGAACAGTGACCAGAAGTTCGCAATTGCGAGTCAAGAGAAGTAGTTCGCGACTCAGCCTGCGAACTTGTGAGCGACTGCGACGAACGATGTCTAGGGCTCCTCGCTCGAAGTTCGCTGTTGCCATGCTCTCCGTGGTCGGAATTTCTTGGATGTCCCTTGTGCGAAGTATGGTGCGACCTATGCGAAGGGTGAGAATGGTGCGATGTATGTCGCGAACGATTTTGAAGTCAGTTCTGCAATTCTGCGATGCTAGCTTGCATCACCGCCATATTAGCCGCTATATTCGCCATCCTAGCTTGCATTTCAGGCTGTTTCCTCTCCACTTCATTGAGTCGTCCCTCCATTTTCACGCGTATCTCAGCGATCGACTAGCTCTGATACCAATGATAGGAACTCCAAATATCCAGAAATGCAGAAATTAATATCAATGGACAAGGTAATCTTTATTGAAGAAGATGAACAGTAATCTGTACAAAGGCCAAAGCCCTCAAAGCCGAAGCCTACCCAAGAGTCTCCGATCTTTCCCAGTCCCAAGAGTCAAGACTAATCGTCTAAAAGCCTACCCTTTATTGCCCACTCCCCTTCTATTTATACTACTCTATCTATTACATTTCTTATTTACTCTTATTCTACCGGGTCCCTAACAGGTTCGGTACGGTTCTTTGGTACTATTCGATTCCTAAATAATTAACTCCCACAAAGTTAAAAAATCTTTTAGGTTTAGCATTAAATAAATAATTGTACAAAAATTGAAGAAAAGGGACTGCAGGATTGAAATCAAACATAACTGAAATACAAAACTAATAGTCAAACTATAATAAAGAAAGGTAACATTCAACTAAAAAACAAAAGTGATAGTCATCCATCCATTCATTCATCATCATTACCCCTGTATCAAAAGTGATAGCCAAACTGAAAAACAAAAGGTATGTCATCACATGAAAAATAAAACCAACTTAATAGTTTTTACTACTTTACTAGTACCCATAGGTTTAAGTGTTCCTTAAAAGTTAAAATTTAGTATAATTTTATCGGGCCCAAAGTTTTGAGTAATCAAACTGCAGATTAATAACTAATATAATATATAATATAGTATACTACTACCTCCGTCCCGCTATGATTGTCCCGTTTTACCTTATCGGTCCGTCCCACTAAGATTGTCCCATACCAAATTTGGCAAAGTTTGTGTGACTCTAAATCATTCTTACTTTATCAATTCAATATCAACCACATAAATCACTTTTTACTGATTTGCGTGTCACTCCCTCTTGTCCCATTGTTAGCGGGACGGAGGGAATATTTTATAGAGCAAATATTTCGGGACATTATGGGACGGTTCGGGACGGTTCGGTTCAATATGGATCTGGAACGGTTCTGGAATGGTTCTCACTTGAGAAACGGTACCATACCATATTATTTAAAATGTTCGGTACGATACGGTATTATATTTTTCCGGTACGCTCGGTTCTGGTACAGTTCGGGACGGTTCTCATTACAGGATGGGAAATCCCAGATACATGCTCAGCCCTAATAATGATAGCATAATTCTTATTACAATTATGAAATAGGTAATACTCCTCTATGTTTGTTTTAATTAATTAAAAGCATTGGTTTACAACAAAATACACTTAACAAGTACTAGTTCACACACATCCAAATTGAGTTAATTGACTTCACAAAGTGTCAAAGACCCCATAAAGCCTTCCCACGATTCTTTAATGGAAGGTGTCTTATCCATAAGGATATGAGTTTACATGCCAAAAAGTAGGAATAAAAGAACCAACGGCTGGGAGACATAGACGACTTAAAATTAATTGCAGAATGTGCTATCAAGGAATCAGCCTACCTTCGTGCCTGACCTCACTCCTTATGATGACTGTACATTTTAGAACTGTTGGACATATTCACAAAAGACAATGTTGCAATCCCCCCCCCCCATAAATTGTCGTTGCATAATCCCCCCCCCCCCCCCCCCTACCTCAAAGTTGTTTCTTCGTTTCTTCATTTTCTGAATAACTATTCAACGTCATCTCAAAAACTTCTATGCAACTAATGTAAGTAGGAAAACTATGATGATGAAAGATTTGAAATGTCATATCATAATCCCTACTTTAGAATATAGTGACAGAAAAGGCATCCGCCATAAAACCTTGATAGTATTTCTTTACATGCTATAGTGTTGAATAATTTAGACGATTAACTCGCACTAAAAAATCCATGCCACCGACCCCAATATAGCTGGGATTAAGGTGATGATGAAGATGGTTTTTGTATATGGCTTGAAGGGACTTCACAAAGGAGCAGCAACAACAATTATGAAGAATTCAAAATCTTATTGAACTGATGATCATGAAAACACATGAAAGTTTCTAGCCATTTATGACTAATATGAGATCCATATAACAGATACAAAGAGAAAGAAGAGTACCTGACTAATCACAAATCCTTTTAACATGATTATGAAGTCATCGTGTCTTTCTTTATTAAGTCTTTCTATTTCACTTCTATTATGTTCCTGCACTCACACAATTAATTAAGATAATTTTAATTATACATAATATTATAATGGCTAAAGAATAAATACAGTGACCAGAAATCAAGAATAACCTCCTTGGAAACACATGAGTTGAGCAAAGAAATATATATTTAAAAAACATGTCTGTACATAAGTAGATTTTGGTATCATAAACATTGGCAAATAAAAAAAAGTGAATGCTTAAAAATAGTCAGCAACAATCTTGACAGGAATGCATGACAAGGTCATATTGTCACTCATTCGTTACCAGAGAGAGAATACTATTTAATGGTGTTAATTTCTCAAACCCATTTGGTCTGGCTAGTGGCTAGTTCGGCCATAGGTCGACCTGGGCTGCCATGCAAAACGGGATAAGGAAATGGGCCCAATCAATCAAGCACCAAAGATACTGGTAAAAAAATCAAGGCTCTTCCAGCTAAAAGTTCTTGGAACGGGACTACAATCCTACACACAGTCATTATCATATATAAGAGAAAGTAGAAATATTAACATAAAGAGTTAAAGGTCCCAAAATGCAGAAATGCTGCAGTTTAGCAGGCAATGCCCTTTAACGAATACTATATTCATCAAGAGGATCACATAGACGTAGTAACTTAAATTTTATTCATAAAAATTAGGGGTATCAACTACTAAATGCTATATTGCATCATGTATGGAAGTATTACACCTTAGACATTCTTTGGTGCTAGTGTCTCCCCTTGAACTGTTAAACTAAAGTTTCTAATGCATCGTTACCTATCAGTAAAGTTATCCAAGGCTATTGAGCAGTGCTAATTGAAGTATGTGGTAATTAAAAACCCTGCAGATTTAGTGACCTCGAGTTGTGCGTAGTGCAACTCAGTAACCAAAATTAGAACAATGAAATAAAGATCATAAGAACCCGACATATTGGGAGGAAACAGGAAAGGCAGAATTTCAGGCAAGCTATTATGGTATCGCTAGGAGATATCATTAGATATTAGAAAAAGGGGTTGCCAGAATTTAATTTGTCCATACTTTGATCTTTAAATACCTTGATGCGTTCATATTCTTTGACTGCACAGCTTTTAGCATCATCAGTGGTTTTAATAGCATCTTTCAATTCTTCCAACTTTTGTATCCTTGATTTGTCCACCATGAATGTTTTAGATGATGTTGCTTCAAGTTTCTCAACCCTTGAATTCAAAGATGACAATTCTGATAGCAGAGTCTGTACAGTTAGTAAAGCCTTTGAACGATCCGAAAATGCATATCTTACTCCGAACATTAACCCCAGATGCTCGTGCACGACATCCTACAGAGTATACATACATCTATTGCATTAATAACAGATGCTGATTGTTGATATAAAATCATAACTATAGTAGTAAGAAATTAAATCCTGCACCAAATTAATTGATCTTCCTCAATTTACCAAATATTGATAGAAAAAAAGAGAACTTTACCAGATATTTCACATCATGCACATGTAGATCATGATGTAATCTACTTGTTTTGACAGCTGCTGTTGCTACTGTTTTTATATCAGCTGCTCGTACCCTCTGAGCATTTGAATTTGCCCATTCGTTCTCAAAATTTGCCAACTTTAGAAAATCAATTCCTAATTCTCCTAGTGTCTCCCCCATATCCTTTTGGGCTTTAACAAGAGCCTCAGCCTATTTTGAAATAATGATAATCAGCACCTCCAATGAAAATAAAATCAATAATTTACTAAACATTCAATGTACATCATTTGATTCATAAAGTTTTCAGTTGATTTACAATAAATCGTTTGATGAAGTAGAATATTAAAAGCAAACCTGCTTCGATGTGTCACTTAGATGTTGCTCAATATCAAGCAGTTTCTCTTTATTCTCCAAGAATTCCTTATCATCATCCTCCATTGGTGGTTTTGAACTGCCCCAATCATTTACCACAGACTGCTTCAATTCCTTAAACAATCTCAGCAAGTCCCTACCATTTTTGGCAGGCTGTACCACATCCTGAGGTTCAATTGCATTCCCATAGTCCCCAAACAACTGTCTGGGAAGCTTCACGGCCCCATCAAGCATCCTAGATGCAATATCAATGCTAGTTAGAAGTGGAAGTCTCCCCTGCACTTGCAAGAACACCCTCAATTCATCACTTTTCTTAATCACCGGATGCACTGCTAGCCTCTGCAAGTACCTCTCCAGTGCAACTCTCCTCTGCTCAGCAAAGTCTTGCTTTTGCATCATTTGACCTTCCACCACACTTTTGTCCGGTCTTGGAGGTATAAAAAAACCTCTATAAGCTTCGCTCAATCGATCTGCTAGTGTCACCACATCATTGAACCGTCTCCTGATGGTGAATTTAGATCCACCGTAATCAGGAAGGTTTGTCTCAGTTGTAATCAAATAGGTAAAAAATGTGTTCACTCCCGGGACGATTGAATTGGATGATTCCACCACTTGCTGTGGATCAGAAACCACAATCTTCAAAAAGGTCGAGTCAGATGAACGAAAGCGCGAAAGCGTTACAGATTTGTCGAAGTCAGTAACAGGATCGCGGTCAGCTTCTTCAGCGGGACTCGCGTGGTCTTCGGTGTGACGAACATTTGCATCAGCATACGATGGAGATTCGAGATGGAAATTTTGATGAGAGCCAGAGGATCCGGTTGACTGTAGATGGTGCGTCGGAGAGGGAATGTGATCGGTCGAGTCTGACGGCGGTGGAATGTGTTGGGAGTTGGGAACCGCTGTATGGCCATTTGGTTCATTTGAGTATGACGTTGAGGTCGAATCTCCTTCATCTTCGACAGCCAAGGTCTCCGTAGAGGCATCTACACGAGGTTCTCCTGAATCTCCCTGGCTCTTCAAGTCCATCATTTTTCCCTATAAAAATGCTTTCAGAAAATATATACAATCCTTGAATTGCCACTCAAAATGGAGTCTTAAAGAGCATATATCCTTAATGAGCTTGCTATATTCACCAGAAATGGCGTTTGGCGCGAGTGGTGGTCCGGCGGGACACGGAAGGTAACAAACAACTGATTTTGAAGGATGGAATCTGTTGATCAAGATTCTTGAGGAATAAAAATGAGACAGGTACCCCAATTTACTACTACGTATTACTTATCTCATTTGTGCAGATTGTCTCTCAGGAAAATAAACCGTTGAGGAGAAAAACACTTGGTGAAGATATCAGCTAGCTGAAACTGTGTATGAACATAGCGCACTACAAGATCTCCATGAGAAACACGTTCCGTGACAAAATGATAATAAATGCTGATGTGTTTGTTGCGTGCATGCTGAATAGGATTAGTAGATAAATATGAAGCGGATACATTATCACCCAACAACTGTACTGGCGCACGAATAGGTACCCTAACTCGAACAAAATGGAACGGATGTGTAGTGTATCCTGAATTGTGTAAGTGATGGCTCTGTATTCAGCCTCTGTAGATGATCGGGAAACAGTGGACTGCTTCTTGGATTTCCAGGGAATCAGATTATGACCCAAGAAAATAGCAAAGCCAAATGTGGATCGACTACTATCAGGACACCCGGCCCAATCAACATCAGAATAAGCCTGAACAGTAGGAGATGACTAATCGAACTGAAGCAGTAGGCCATGATCTGGAGTGTGACAAATATGACAGACGATGGGAGGAGGAACTGAACCAAAATTATTCTCAAAGGGTGAAGATCATGCAGAAGCATAGTTAGTACAAGAAATATATGGTGCAGAAGTATAAAACGATGACCCAAAAGAATTACAATTAACTGTACCCGGTATACCCATCAATTGTGGTGAAGGAGGGCCTCGGAACTGCTGCTGCCCGGAACCATAAAACTGCTGCTGCCCGGGACCGTAGGACTCCTGGAAATAGTTCTGGCCGCCACGTCCTCGGCCACGGCCTCCTCTGCCACGTGAGCCTCTGCCGCACCCGCCGCGCTGCGAAGACTGTAGCTGCGGTGGCTGGGCCTGCGGTGCCGGCTTTTGCTGATGTCCTATTTCGGCAGCAGACTGCCCTTGCGCAGCAAAAGCCGGGGCGCCAACGGTAGTCTCCAACCGTTGTTGATAATTAAGTCGGGCTTCTTGATGGGCAAGTTCGGTAGTCTCCAACCGTTGTTGATAATTAAGTCGGGCCCAACAAGAGACTCATATCCCGGACCCAACCCCAATAGCGCATGTTGCAAGAGATCAAGATCAGACACGAGAGAATTAATTGAGGCAAGGGATTCAGCTATTTTCCGAATTTCAAGTAAATATTGGTCCATGGATGAATTTTCTTTCTTTTTCATGTGAGACAACATCTGTTTTAATTCCAAGGAGCGAGCCAGACTGGCTGCCATGAAACGAGCCTCCAAACGTTCCCATATAGCGGTAGAATTCTTTAGTTGATGCACCTCAACAAGTATATCATATCACGGGAGAGGGTAGCAAACAACCAAGAACGTATCATCTGATCCAATTTTAACCAGTGATAATATTCAGGATCCATGGTTTGATTTTGATATAAATCATAGGTGTATAGGGGTGGGGCAGGTAAGGAACCATCAAGTATACCCAAAAGACCATTAGAGACCAGTAATGACTCAAAGTGAGTGTGCCAGGGTAAGTAATCTCCAACAACCAGTAATTTGATTGTGTCAATAGTAGTAATAGAAGAAGCACCAAAACCCATATCTTGACCAACAGATGCAAACGAGATGGGTAGGGATGGAACCTCTCGATGTCCAATCAGCCTGGCGGAGGACGGCAGCAGGAGACCCGGACTGCCCGAGAGTGTAGGACCAGCAAACCTTCGTTCGGCAGTGTTGTTGGACTCGCCAACGACGAAGGAGGACTGTTGCGGCATAGACTGCATGCTCGGAACCATAGAAGTCGGACTCGGCGGCACGCTTGAGATGGAGAACGGCGCTAGAGTTGCAGATGATTCTGGTGGGGAACCAACGCTCAGCCCAGACGAGTCCGTCACCGGCGTGGAACCGGCGGCGGTAACATGAGAGGCGGCGGTTTCGTCGGAAGACATTGGACCGAAAAAAAATGTAGGTTAAAACCTCAATGCTCTTGATACCATGTGAGAATAATGGAATGGCTTACCCAATATGGTAGCCCTGGGTGTATATTATATAGAGAAGTGTTTAGAGTACATTAGGAAACATAATATAAAAGAAATCCTAATACAAGGAAACTACTAATAAATAATAAATACTCTATTAATTTGTACCTCATATAAAAACTCTCTTTTCTTATCTTCGTTTGACCCCCAAACATTTCTCATCCGACATCACACATCCCCTGCAATCGTTGAACCCCTACCCTCTTCCCTTAATTTTTTTTTTCAGACAAAAAAGCTAGCTACAGTGAAACAAATGATGAACAATTTCCATCTTCTTCGTCTTTCATCTATGTCGGTGACGTTGGGTATCTTGACATGGGGAGAGTTTGGTGACGTTGCCGACGGCGGGCCTACGTCGGTTGTCGTTTTGGAGCGACCTCAAGGGAAAACAACGACGAAGGTTCAGACCAAAAAGCTTTGAATGACTTGGGTGAATCTTCTTTTCTTGATTTTATTTTCTTGATTTTGTTTTCTTAATTTTTTGGTGTGTTTTCGAAATGAAGAGGGTTATCTGTCTGACAGACAATTTGTAATTGCAGTGTTTGTATACTCAGACATGGTTTCATAGTTGGTGGAACTTTGAAATAAAATGTCTGTCACACAGACAACTCACTTGTTTGCCTACATAAAACTACTGTCTGTATGCACATGCAAATATCGGTACAACTGTATTTTGTAGTACGTTTTGATGAGTTTAGTGATTATTAATGTAGTTATATAAAAGTATTCAGACATATGGTTCTACTTGTTAATTTACTTGTTAAAAGGCACCGAGTCATTTATTCTCTTCTCCAAATCAACCCCATGTTGTGTACGAGACATTCCAGTGATCTCAAACTCATTGTCATCGCATTGGTATCCGATTAAACCTGCTGCCAACTTCTCAATATCTAGTAATTTTTTAACAATTCTAGGGCAAATATTTGTAGTCCACTTCTTTTCTTTTTCCCTACTAGTTAAAAGCTTTGTTAGAAGGAGTTTCCTAATGGTTTCTAGTCACACCAAAATAACCTGTTGTCTAGCCTCTAAAATCACACTATTAAAGCATTTGCAGATGTTGTTAGTCAACATATCAGTTATTTAGTATGATGAGAAGTGTGACTTGGACCATTCCCTTGGATGTTTATCTGCCAGCCATTTAAAACCGTGTGCGTCTATTTCTTTCATTTTTGTAAGACCAGCATTGAAAGAATTTACAATGCATGCCCTTGCACAGTCCCACAAACAATCTTTAACTGCTTTCCCATTATATCTGGCGCCCTTCATGTTCCCATGGAGATGTCTCACACAGAATCTATGTTCAACTCTTGGGAGTAGTTCATTTACTGCTTGAATTAGACCTTTCTGTTTGTCTGACATGAAGGAGGAGAGGTGCTCATTAGATTATGTGATGTCAGCATCTCCCTCACAAGATTTAAGAACCAATCTCAAAAATCTCTTGTTCCCCCCTCCACAATGGCATAAGCAAGAGGAAAGAAAATATTGTTTGCATCTATTATATTCCAATTGCAACCAGTAGTTGCCCTCTAGTATTGGTTTTCAAATGAGTCACATCCACCCCCAATACAGGCCTACAATGTTTAAAACCTTTTCTACATGCTTCCAAACACATATACATCCTCAAAAATCTCTGTTGGCCATCAACTCCCACATATTCACCTTAACTTCATAGTACAAGTGCTCAGAGGATTGGTCATTCTTATTTCTTCCACATAGGACCATTTCTTCTTGAAGTTATTTTCCTATTCACCTCTCAGTTTTCTTTTGGCCTTGCTCATTGCTCTATAAGCTTGCCTTGTAGTTAAATGAAAGCGTTCATCAGTACAAACCTTCTTTCTAAACTCCTTGGTTTTCCAATTGGAGTGATTTTGAATCTCCTTGAACCACCTATTATCTACCTTGGTTGAGTTCACCATTTTGTTGTGATACATCCAAGAGCAACCATCATGTTTGGCATGGTACTGCAGTATCCTCCAAGAATGAGAATTGGCTACCTTTCTTGGATTCATCTTCCAAGAACAACCCAGATGCTTGCACTCCACAACCACTCTTTCCTTATCATCTTTTACAAACTTAAGTTCTTTACCCATCTTAAATGCATGAATTTGCACAGCTTCCTTGAATTCATTCTTGGTGGAAAAGGTCATACCCAACTTAAAGGTGGGATTTTTCATATCAGTCTTAGCACAAAATTTTGTCCACTTTTCAGCATCAGAAGCAGAGTCCTGTATTGAGCCATCATCAGACAAATTGGGATCAAGGTCTACCGCTGATGCTTCATTTTCAGTGTCTTCTCCTTCACTACTGTTGTGTACCCCTCCATATTCAGCTGTTGGGTCTGTGTTGTTAGCAAAGTCAACATCATCCTTACTGATGAAGTCCTCTAAATTAGAGTCATCATCATCCCCCGAAAAATATTCTAAATCATCCTCAGTGCAGGCAAAGTCATTATCATCAGTCATCTACATTTTCATCCTTACCCATGTCTTCAAATTGAACCCACAACTCGACCACCTTACCCCCATTTTCATCATTGACAAACCCTAAATGTCTGCCTCATCTTTTAGTTCAATTAAGGTTTCATTTGAATAAGAAAATATTTTTCTTACCTTCAGGGTGCAACCAAGCTCTTGTAGTTTCTCATTCAACATAATCAATCCAAACTCATCAACATCTAAATCATGAAATAATTAAATTGTGCCTCCCAGGTATGAAGGTCTTTCCATAGCATTCACCCTTCCCCCATAAAATAACTTTAGAGTAAATGTGCATTCACAAGTGGTTGAATTTTTTTAAACAAATTAATATGGTAGATCAATCATCCTATGTGGTTTCCACAAGCACAAATATACATATTCATATTTATAATATAAATAACCAAAAAAATCATTAAACCGTACACAAGCCCAAGCACACAACCCCTTGCGTAATGATTAAATCAATATGATCACATTTCTGAAATGTAAC